ACTCCTGCAGAGATGTCCTCCAACAACCATAACCATTTTATGTGCCTGGTATGACTACCTCCAGTGGTGAGTTTGCCCCTGATGCCCATTAATTCTAGTTTTAGTAGGGGTCCTTGTGTCATTCTCGTCAAATATGGCCTTGATGTCAAGGGCTGTCATACTCTCTCCTTACCTCAAATTCAGTTCTTTTGTCCGTGTTTGAATCAGTGTGAGGTCAGTCCAAAGTGGAACCCAACTTAATATCACTGAGCAGGTGCTGCTTGATAGCACTGTCGACACTTTCCATAACTTTACTGATTGAGAGTTCACTGGCATGGTAACTCGCTGGGGTGGATTTGTCATGCTTTTCGTATACAGGACATACCAAGGCAATTTTCCACATTTGAGTAAACGATGCTGTTGTAATTGCACTAGAAAAGCTTGGTTAGTGCAGTTAAAAAGTTCTGGAGCATGAACTCATCGCTGGGATACTGTTCAGACCTATTGCTGTGCAGTATCCATTTGTCTCCAACTGGTTCTTGATATTACATTGGAATGAGTTGAATTGGCTGAAGTTTGGTATCTGTAATGCTGGAGACCACTGGAGGCAAAGATAGATCATTCACTTGGCTCTTCTGGCTGATTGCTGAGAAAGCTTCGGCCGCCTCTTTCTCAGTGATGTGATGTACTGGACTTCTTCCATCATTGAGGAAGGGAGATATTTGTGGAGCTGCTGCCTCCAGTGATTTGTTTAATTGTTCATCACCATTCACGACTGGATGTGGCAGGACTGCAGAGTTTGGATCTGATCTTTTAGATGTGGAATCACCTAGCTCTATCACTATGGGAAGGAAATGGTCCTGTTTGGTTGATTTCAGGTTGGTACCTCACTTTTAGGTATGCCTGTGCTGCTCCTGGCATGCTCTCCTGCACTCTCCATTGAACAGAGTTGATCCTCTGGTTTGATAGTAATAGTTGATTGGGGGATATGCAGGATCTTGAGGTTGCAGATTGTACTGAAATACAAGTCTTCTGCTGTTGACTGCCCAGTCTTGAGTTGCTGGATCTGTTTGATGTCTGTCCCATGTAGCACAGTTACAGTGCCACACATGAAGGATGGTATTCTCAGTGAAAGTAGGACTTCTCCATAACTGTGTAGTGGTCACTCTTACCAATATTGTCATGAAAAGATGCATCTGCAGCTGACGAATTGGTAAGGATGAGATCAAGTATGTTTGTTTATCCCTCTTGGTTTCTTGCACACCTGCAGACATGGCCTAGCATCTATGTTCTTTAGGCCCTGACCAGCTTCATGAGTAGTGCTGCTGCTGATTCACTCTTGATGGACATTGAAATGCCCCACCTGAGTACATTTTGCACCCTTAGTGCTTCATCCCAACTGTTGCTTAATATGGAGTTTAGCATGCACTGTCCTTCCTTGGAAGATGAACAGCAGGAGATTCCCCTGCCCCTGTTTAACTTGACTTCATGGAGTCCAGATTCAAAGTTGAGGACTCCTGGGGCAACTCCCTCTGAACTATATACCACTGTGCTACCACCTCTGCTGGGTCAGGGCATATCTAGAGATGGTGATGGTAGTGTCTGGGCCATTGTAAGCTATGATTCCCATGAGTGACTGTGCCAGGCTGTTGCTTGAGTAGTCTAAGGGATAGCTCTCCTAACTTTGGCACTAGTACCCACATTAGTAAGGAAGATTTTGCAGGGTTGATGGGGCTGTTTCTGCCAGTGCCTAGGTCAATGCCAGGTAGTCTGTCCAGCTTCATTTCTTTGAGACTTTGTAACAATTAATATAACTGAGTGGCTTGTTAGGCCATTTCAGAGACCAGTTGAGTCAACCATGTTGCTGTGGGTCTAGAGTCACATAAGCCAGACAAAATAAGGATGGTTGATTCCCTTCCTGGGTGTTTTCTAACAATTTGACTGTTTTTTATGGTTACTAGTAGATTCTTCCATTCTGGGGATTTGAACCTGGGTCCCAAGAATGTTAACTGGGTTTCTGGATTAATAGTCTAATATTGGGTGAGGAAGTTTGTTAATCACCTGTTCTCTCCGAGTTTATGAATCAGTTTTCCCATTTTGTGACCACTTCAAAGAAAAATTGAAATGTAGTACCTCTACCAAGAGGAAGAGGTGAATTGGATTTTTTTTTTTAATAGCCCTCCTGTCTGTTACAGAAGTGTTTTTTTTTTAAATACCTCTTTTCATTTTAAAAATAGGCAGTTGTGAAGTTGGATTGAAAGTGACCAAACTCCAATTCTTTTAAGAATTAATTAAAAAGTAGTTTAATTTGGAAACATAATTAGAGTGGACTAGTTGGACTGAAGGCTCTGTTTTCATGCTGTATGACACTGAAAATGTGCTTAAGCACCATACTGTACGACACTGAAAATGTGCTTAAGCACCATACTGTACCAAGCATTTATTTAATGAACCCTCCAATGGATATGCTGAAAGCTGACCCATGAAATTCTAGTACAGTGCATTCATGCAGACCATTAACAATTTGGAGCTTGAAAGGATAGATTGAGAAGTAAGAATTGGAAATAGCCATGGCTACATAAGGACAGTGGAGTGTTTGAATTCCTTTTTAGATAAGAACTTGCATTGATATTACTTATGAATTAAATACCAGCATGAGACATATGGAAACTGTATCCAGCAACATCCTGCATAAATCTTTTCTGAATCCTCTCCAGTTTAATAATGTCCTTCCTATAACAAGGCAACCAGAACAGCACCCAGTACTCCAGAAGAGGTGTCACCAATGTTCTATAAAACCTGAACATGATGTCCCAACTCCTATACTTAAAAAATCTCAGCAATGAAGGGAAGTGTGCTAAATGCTTTCTTAACTACTCTCTCTACTTGTGAGCAAATTTCAAAGAATTATGTACATGACCCCCAGGTCTCTGTTCTACAACACTACCCAGAGCCCTCCCATTAATTGTATAAGTCCTGCCCTTGTTTGTTTTACCAAAATGCAATTTATCAAAATTAAATTCCATCTGCCAGTTTTCAGTCCATTGACCCAATTGATCAAGATCTCTTTGTAATCATAGATAACCACCTTCTTTGTCCATTGTATCATCAAATTTTGTCCATTTGTATTATCTCATGCTTAATAACCATGCTTCCTCTATTCTCATCAAAATCATTCATATAAATGACAAAAAAAGGACCCAGTACCAATCCCTGTGGAACACCACTAAATTGGAGGCCTGTGACAAGAACTTTTAACTTTTTATGGAAGGCTTATCTTTTTCCATAACAATTTTAAAAAAATAATTATTAATTATGAATTTATGATCACTAGTCCCAAAGTATACCCCTACAAACAGTTTTAGTCACTTGCTCTGCCTTATTTCCCAAGAGACAGTCAAGTTTTGCTCCTTCTCTAGTAGGAACATTTACATACTGATTTTTAAAAAAAAAAAAAAAAAAATTCCTGAACACATTTAACAAATTTCCCCCCCCATCCAAGCCTTTAACATTATGGCAGTCCTGGTCAATGTTTGGAAAATTAAAATCCCCTACTATTACAAACCTATTATTCTTGCATATATCTGCAATCTCTCTACATATGTATTCCTCTATTTCACTCTGAATATTCGAGGGCCTCTAGTACAGTCCTCTCAAGGTGATCATCCCTTTCTTAGTTCTAATTGCAACCTATGTATTTTCACTGCATGATCACTGAGAAATATTCTCTCTATTTACAAGTGTAAGGTTTTCTTGAGTCAAAAACACCACTCACCTGCCTCTCTCACTGCCCTCTTCTATCCTTCCTAAACCATCCAAAACCCAAAACATTGAGGTGCCAATCCTGTCCTCCCCTCAGCCAAGTTTCTGTAATAGCTATGATGTCTCAGTCTTGTGTGCCACTGCATGCCTTTAGCTCATCAGCCTTGCTTGGAAAATCCTTTGCATTGCAATAAATGCAGTTTAATTTTTCAGAGTTAACTTGTTCTCTAACTTGCTCTTGATTGTCTTTGCTAACTAACTTGCTCTTTTCTGATTCAGAACCATACTCCTGTGTCTTCCTATTTCACTTAGGAATGTCTCAGCTCCCCCAAACACCAGCCCCCCACCCCACCCCCCGGCCCCAAAAAAAAAGTTTACAAATCCCCACAATAGAACTAGCAAACTTCCCCACTAGGATATTAGTCCCTTTCCATTTCAGGCAAACCCATCTTTTTTGAATAGGTCTTTTCTACCTAATGACCAAAAATCTGAATCCTTGCACTGATTTATCTACTCTATCCTTTTATTACTTCCCTCATTAGAACTTGGCACTGGGAGTAAACATGATTATCACTTTTGAGGTTCTGTTTTTCGTTAACCTTCTACCTAACCTCATATTCACTCTGCAAAGCCTTAACCCTGTACCTAACTATGTCGTTGCTACCAATGTGTACGACAACTTCCGGCTTCATTGAAAATAACAATGTATTTTGAAATTAAAGTGTACGTTTTTGAAAAAAATGACTTCTCTTGACAACTGCCAACAGTTAAGACAGCGGTAGATAGCTTGATGGATGTGCCTTCTGTTTTCCTGTGGTGTCAGTTTTCAAAAATTTCTATCACTGCAGCATTTAGCTTAGGTAGCCAAAGAATGGTTGAAGGCAGCCTAAGGAAGCATGAAGAAAAATCCAACAATTTCAGTCACCTCTGCTGATCATTTTGCAACAAAAGAACAGCAGAGCAAACTCATAGTCTCTATCAGAAGTATGAATGAGGATATAATTTAAAGGTGGGACTAGTTTGCTCTTAATGAATTCAAATGGCTTTTAATAAATATTTAAATTACTGCTGGACCTTAACGTAGTTTTATTTATTTTTGTTATTATTCACTTGTATGTATTTTTTTTCCCCAAAGAAATCAAACAATGAACAAGCAAATCAAGAGCAATTGTGGATAGTTATTAAAAGCTGACCTTTTCAGTGCCTTCATATTGCTCAAATAAATACATTTTGACAAATAGAATCTAAACTTGCACCAGTTTATCTTATCAACTAAAAAGAACTTTGAAAAAGGACCAAACACAATGGAAATTTCATGGTAAATCACACAAGTCTCACAGCATGGAAAACGGCCATTTGGCCATCGTCCCTGTTAGCAACTGCAATATCAATTAGGGATAGAGTGGGTGTGTATCAGAACTGTTTTCAAAGGGACATAGTGATCATTGGTTCTCTCACCTCCCTACAAACTTCAGAGGATCAAGCAACTGCAGGTCCTGCAGTGGGGTAGGGAGCATTTTGAGCCATATTACCCAGGCATGTCAGTACAAAACTAAATACCATGATAATATGTATGTTATTTAGTAAGATCTCATCTAGAGTGCTGTGTCCCCTACCCTTACATAAAAAGATGCAAATAAGAGCAAAAAAGCAAGATTTCTAAACTAAGTTCAATGAGTTAGGCATGACAGAATTTGTACATTGAATTGCAACATGTAGGATAATCGGATTTAGAGGAAATGTTTCAGGTCTTTAAAAATTTGATTCTAATGACTTATCATGAATCAAATCAGAACAAGAGCTACATTATTGGGTGAGGAAATTGCAACATACCTTTCACTAACACTACCATCACTGGCAATGATAGATGTGGCTCCATTTAAAATTATTCTACAGGATTGCTTTTGTAGCTACTGTGAATGTTGTCATTTTACTATAGTTGGTAAGTTATCAGTTGTGATAATTGTTACAAGTCTACAAGGGACATTGTACTTTATATAAAATAATTAACATTAGCCAGTAGATACAGACTAGGACAGTCCAAATTGAGATTCTGGACATCTACTATTAATTGATAGCTTTAGTCTGCACTCAGTCTCCATAATCAAAGTAACTAGTTTCAGTTTCAATCAAAGAATTTCTTTCAGGTGGGATATTGGACATCACTTAGATTCTGTGAAATAGTAGCCCAGTATGATAAGCATCTTCAGAAAGAAGTGAAAATAGATGAAACTAAATTCTGCAAGAATTGAAAGCAGATTTGTCTGAAACAAACAAGCAAAAATGTTCTGTCTAAGCACGAGATTTGGCAAGTTTTGGTTGAGTGATACAGTGAGAAGCTGAGTCAGATGGACAGAAGGTTTTAAGTTTCATTTCCATCCAGTACTCAGTTGGAAAAGTTTGGCTAAGGGTCAAGTGGTGCTAGCAGATGTTCTCCAGGTTAAGACTCCTAATCATCCCCTATTGAAATACATATGGTTTATTCATAGCATTTGGCACAGCTACAATGTTCAAATGATTGAATAGCCAATTTGCATTGTCAAGACTCAAACAAAGAATGAGCACTTGGAGGGGATGCTCCAGGAACTATCAAATATAGATGCAACTGTACTTCTGCAAGGTATCAACACCTACAAAGGAAGAGGGATCTGAGTTATCTGAAAGTAGGATTAAATCCTACCTTCTACATACTCAGATCTCTTAACACATTTAAGTTTATAGTGGACTTGTGGGCACATAATTTGCATTCATTGCTTGTGCTATGCATTGGAAGAGAATATCAATAAAAATGAACACCTCGTAGAGAACAAAAAAAAACTACTTGGCTGTCAGTAGCCATGCGTGCAAACCTCTGCATCTAATTTACTGGCACAGAGAACAACATTACTGTAGAAATGCTGCAACTATTGTGCACACCATTAATAATCACGAACACTGTAATTTCTTAGAAAAAAAAGTCCACTATTTAAGCCACTCCAAAATTTCATGATTATGCTGCCTCATTAAAGCTACTGAAATTGCAACATCATTTACAACGTTGCAAAATGACCTTGGTGGGGTGAATATACAGGAATCATTACAGGGACATGTTTTTAAAAAGTGAATAATTTCTGTGTACTCGTTACTAAATTCTGAAATATTCTTGATTAAAGCACAGTCCACACTTTTTCAAAAAATAATGTATTTTAGAATTTCAAGCTACTTCTGTATTGCTTCCGAAAGGATTTTTTGATGTTAATCACAGGTGAAACATTCATGAAATTTCTCCACTGTCAGCCATATCAGGTAATCTGTTTCTTCTTGTGGCCATGCATTTATTCAATATTTATTCCTCTTTATAACTTTTAGTAACTTGCTACCAAAAATGTTCGCTAGAGGCTGCAACAGAATAGAAATGGACACTAATGTGTGCTTAACTGTTTAATAGTGATTGATGGATTTGAAATATACAAACACAGAAAGGCATGACCTGGTGAATCCACATGGACTGCAGGAGTTGAGGTCACAACTCACTACCACTTTCTGAAGGGCAACAAGTGCTGGTTTTGTCAGGATGTGGGTGTTGTAGGCAAAGGTGACGTCAAAAATGTTTTCCCTGTTGTGGCCACCATCTATCTGCCTCCAGCCTAGTCAGGCAGTTATATCCTTAGGAACTGGCACCTTGTTCATTAGTGGTACAATGAGGCATTCTTGGTAATGAACACTTAAATCACTCACTTGGAATACATTGTGCCCTTGGTAGTGTAATACTCAAAAGGCAGGAAGAGCAAGATCCTTTGTTTTTACACAAAGGTATAATCTTGTTTAATTTTTTAAAGATGGACATCATGCTACACTGACACTACGGTTACTAATGATCACCTGATACCAGTTGACTACACTCTTTGATCACCAATAACCAGGGTAACAAAATCTTACATCTTCCTTTTGTAGTGTCACAGTCCTTGCATCATATAGGCATCCGAGCCAAGGTAACACAAAGAACTAGTAAATAACATGTCTGCCTCAGCCTCTGAACAAAGGTCACTATCAAAACCCATAATTATTTGTCTTGTTACTAGTGACTCCACAGTTATCTGCCACAAAACACTAAGTTTTACCTAAGACTTCAAAACTAGATGAGTTGCGATCTAAACTAAGCTGAAAGCTGCAGTTAGGTGGTTGAAATCACTATTTTGTTTGAATGACCTTTAATTGCAGCATTTTCCTCTTAATTTACCAGTAAGCTTACAAAATATGAGAGTAAGCAATTTAACTAAGGCATGTTTTTTTTCATGGAAAGAATCCTGTATTTTGCCCATGAATTTGAATAATTTCCTAATGTACAATTATTGCACCTCTACCATCAATTCAACTGCATCTCAGTCCCTATGAAAGGGACTTCTGGACACAGCCAATTGAAGGAAATTCCATTGGACAATGACATGCTGAACATTAACTCACCTGAACCAATTCTGATATATTGGATTTTAAGTATGAGTAATTTCTTTCCTTTCCTTTTATTTTCTTGATATGCATTGATGAGAATGTGCATTGCAAACCATTCTCCATAGATTTTGAATGGAGTTATAAACCTTTTGCTTTAAGCCGGAGATCTTTGTTGTGGGTCATTATCAATTGGATTTCAAAGCACAATTGTGAAACACATCTTTTTTAAACTTTCGAAAAAAAATGAGAAAGATTATGAAACCAAATGTAGCAAACAGGAGAGGACTAAAAAATAAATAAAATTTAATTCACCTCTCCCTCTTGACCATGACAGAACTTGGTATCTCACATGCAGATTGGATCCAATAAAAAAGCCCGACAATTTGACTAGTGTACCAAAGTGAGCAGAGTCCAAATTTAGAAACAAGACAAAATTGGTTAGTAAAAAGCAATCAATAGGAAGCAAGAGGAAAAACTCAGCGGCTGAGGTTATCTTTTAGATAAAAATGAAGTACAGCAGCAAGCTCTCTTCACCTAACATCACAGCAATAAGTTAAATAACATTGCAAAGGTGGGTGTAGAAAAGAAACAGCTAACTATCAGAACCCTAGCTTCTCAAATCCTAGGACCATTGAGATTTCAACACACCACCCTGATCCCTGGCCAACATCTGTCTTGTGCTTGTTGCAGTGCTCCAGCATAGCTCAACGCAAGCTGGATGAACATTACCTCATTTTCTGCTTGGGGACCCTGCAGCCTTCTGGACTCAATATTGAATTCAATAATTTTAAGGCATGAGCACGTTCTACCTGGTCCTTACTCCAATCCCCATACACTAGGCCTTATCAACACATGGGCTGACACCACTTACAACCCATTGGAGGCTATTAATGGATCCCATTTGCAGCTATTCATTCTCTCAGACTAACCTTTACCTATTCCTTTGTCTGCTTCTCTCTCTCTGGGCTCCATCACCACCTACCACTTACTCCTTCCCCCACCTCCCATCGTTTCTTTAGCATATATACCAACATTTTCCTAGCTACAATCAGTTCTGAATAAGGGTCACTGGACCCAAAACATTAACATCTGCTTCCTCTCCAATGACATCCTTGCTCCTGTACTCAAATCATCTTTCTATGAAAGCCAACATTCCATTTGCCTTCTTCAGTGCCTGCTGCATCTGCATGCTTACCATCAGCAATTGGTGTACAAGTACTCTCGGGTTTCATTGCACCTGCAGCATTCCCGATCTAATTGCCATTCAGATAATAATCTGCTTTCCTGCTTTTGCTACTGAATTACTACATTGTAGACAGACACATATAAAAAACTACCTCCCGAGACAGAGACCAGAGGTATTTCTGAAACTTTGGGCAGTTACACTTTAATCAATATTCAAATCAGACTGAATCAGAACCAAGAACCGATTGGAGTCTTACAACTAAATTAATAACCTTTACTGTAAAATGGCAGATTGAGCTGGAAAGGTTGAAAGAGAGAGGTAGTGAAAAACAAGCTTTCCAACAAAAGATGCTGGAGATGAAATTGAAAACTCAAGAGGCAAGCTCAAAAGCAGATCAAAACATGATAGACAGACATTAAGTAATAAGGAAATGGCTTGGTGAAGTCCCAGTTTCTGTATCCCAAAAATTGAGAACAGTCTAACGAATCTGCGAAGTAAGTAACCGGAAAGGTTATGTTCAACTACCCTGTGCTAAAGAGAATCTGATCATGCTAAAAAAAAAGACAGCCCATAAATTGACAGAAAGCCATTGGAGTTTCAGGTGAAATCCGAGTTTAATGGATTAACATGGTCAGGAATGAAAATCACCAGAAGTCAAAGGGCCAAGAGCAGGCCTATAAAGATAAAAAGAGTGAGTGCACCCTGGGAGATGGTTCAGAAAGGCTCAACCAATAGCCATGTTGTCCAAGTTTTGCAGAATGGCAGAACATTCAGAGGCCCTGCACGGGGCGCAAAAGAACACCTCGGGAATAACATGGCCCAGGAAAAGCCACCTGGATTTAAAAACATGGAGACTAGGGCAGTAAGATTGAATGGGATCAAGAGTGCTAATTTCAAATGAGATGAAGGGAGGGAGCCAAAAATTGTTTTCACAAATACACTCTTTACTAAAATAAAGTAACACCCACTGAAAACTTGCAAATTTCTTGTGAGTGTAAACTAACAATATGGACTAACTGTTTAGTTTAAACACATGCTCTTCCATGCCTCGAGTTCTATTAAAAGGAAAATCTGAAATGGTATATTATCAAGTACGTGATCTAATATGGTGCATATTGGGCAGGTGATGTAATAGTGCCTGTTTTGCTTTCCTGCCAATGTTGAAAGTTTTGCTTGATACATCAAAAAATGTAACACAAACTTGCCCACGTTTCAGAGATAAGTATGGAGAAAGTAAGAAAACACATGCAGGGTGATGGCCCCAAATGTCCGCATGGTCAATTGTCCCACTGTTGTGCCAGTCTGTGACTAGTTTTGCCTAACTGTTGGAAAGAATAGTGCTAAGAATGAAGGACTCAAATCATCTATACAATTTGGAGAGTAAAAGTTTGAGAGGTGTGATAGAGATTCAAAATAATGTGGGGCCTTAACAGGATTGATAGAGAGAAATTGTTCTAATGGCTAAATGGCCAAAAACCAGAGGAAACTGATTGGCAAAAAAAAAAACAATGCTGACCTGAGGAAATCCTTTTTATGCAGCAATTAGTTAGGACTTCAACTGCACTGCCCAAAAGCAACAGTCCACACCCCCATTTAGTATTAATGATGACAGTCCTTTACTACTTGAAACTGATTTTGGTTTTCAGGTCCCTACACAGGAAATGGGGCTCTGTATCCCACTGATTCATTAGTGGCATCTTCAACAGCATCTACCACCAACTACTGACACTTTTACAATAATCTAGTGATTTTCTGTTTCACACAGAAGCAGTGATTTATTGTGCTTTATCAGAGTGACAGCCAGCCAAAATCTGAAAAAGCAATTTCTCAGTTTTGAACACAAAAAATTGCCATCTGTGATTTTAAATAAATTATTGCGTGTGTAGAGCTCTGATACATGTAAGAGGCAGCCTGGATCCTGCAAAACAGATTATTACAAAGAAAGGAGGGTGCCATGTAACACACTACTTGGAAATAATACAGGAGCCTCCTCATTTCCTGTATGGCTGGTCCACCTATAAATTGCAATTGTTGGCACACTAATTTTAGGATTCTGAAATCTAATTGGATGTATTCCTGGAGATTTTAACACATGACCAACAGCTTCTTTCTGCATGGTCACCTTGATATATCGATTTTCACAGTGTACTGCACCCCCATGCTCAGAATTAAATATGATAGTGTTTGCAAACAGCATGGCTTAACCTTAGACAGTCACCAGGGAGGAGAGAAGGTGTTGCAGGGAACAGAGTTTGAGTTGGGAACATAAACAATGGTTTCCATCTTCCCATTATTTAGTTGGAGGTAATTTCTGTTCATTCAGAACTGGATATCAAAAAGGAAAATTTTGTGAGACAGAAGGAATTCTGAGATTTAATGGTCCAGTAAAGTTGGATATCAACAGCATAGTGGAACCTGACACTGTTCTAGATATTTTCTAATCCACCTGTTCAGAAATGCTATTAAATACCTCTGGAGCAGGTAGGTCTTGAACCTGGGCTTCATAGTTTAGGGGTAGGGACCCTACCACTGCACTACAAGAGTCTCTTGTGCACCTGTTTTAATTTTTATATCTTAATTAAAATCAGGAAGCCACCTTGTCTTTCTCTAACATTCCATCATAATATGTCCACCATCCCCTCATTTAAAAAATCCCTCTAAATTCTTTTGCATTGATGTCATTGTTTCTTTGTCAGTCCACCTAAATAGCTTCCATAACTGAATAAAAAAAATCTACACACATATTAAAAGGTAAAGAAATCAAAGAAAAAAAAAAATCAATTATAAATTATTGCTAATTCATTGTTTGTCCTTTCTTGTCTTGGTTGTTCCTTTATTTCAACTAAATTCATTTACTTCTGTTAAGTTTGGGACCATGCCTTTTTCCCTTAACATAAGACCGCAGTTAAGACAATAGCCATAATTGATAGGTTTATCATTATTGCATGTCATATGTAGTAGAACAAACTTGTATTAGTACAAAAAATGTGGATGCTGGAAATATGAACTAAAATCCAAATTTGTTGGAAATGCTCAGATCTGGCAGCATCTGTGGAGAGAGAAATACAGTTAACATTTCAGGTCCTTGACCTTCCATTAGAATTGGGAAAAGTTAGAAATGTAATAGGTTTTGAGTGAGAAAGAAGAAGAATCAATGGGAAGCTGTATAATAGGTGGGGCCAGGAAAGATTAAATGAGAAAATGTTCCATAATGCAAAGCCAAAGGAAGTGTTAATGGGAGAAGAAAAGATACAAAAAATGGATCCAGGAAGAAGTGTAAATGGTAAGATTGTACATCTTGCTGTCTGCAAACAAAGAAATGAAATGAAAAGGAAGTAAGATGAGCGTAACAAAAAAAAAACCAGGGAAGAGAAACAAAATATTACAGGAGCAGAGATTCCATTCTAAAATTATTGAATTCAGTAATGAATCCAAAGGGTTGTAAAGTATCTAATCAAGAGGATAAACCGTTCCTTGAACTTGCATCAATGTAAAATGGCACATTGCAGTACACAAAGGACGGAAAGAGTAAAACCTAGGCAGAGAATTAAAATGAAATGAAATGTCACGTTTGTGGACTGAAGGGACATGTTCCTCAAAGCAGCCAACCAGTTTGTCTCCACAACGCTGGCTCACACTAATATTCATCTTCTTGTTGTAACTGCAATTATGGAAAATTTTAAATTGTAGTTTAACATCCAGCTCACTCAATATCGAGTTGTATTGCACTACCAATTGTCATTGGTGAGAGGGAGGTATTCAGTCAATCTGCTAGCTCTTTCCTGACAAGTTCCAACAAAACCCAACAGGGAAGCAAGGCACACTCACCCTCTCCTTGTAATCTAAAAAGAAATGTCTGTTATTCCATGGTAGAATCTATTGGGGTAGACAGGAAAGTGGAATTGAAGTCACAATCTGATCAGCCATGATTATATTACATGATGGAGCAGACTTCAGGGGCCAAATGGCTTCCTACTGCTCCTAAATAATGTGTGCATATGGCATTGATAAACTTTATTCTCCAAATTCCAACATTGTCTATGGCCAGTATGAGACTAAACTAGCCCCTTCGCAAACTTAGTGTTCCTTCTGACCTTCAGATGAACTACAGAAACCCATATCCTGGTTTGTGATCATGTAACTTCCTCCTACACAGGATTGCATGTCTCCACACACCTTAGCTCTGCTGCTGCTGAAACCCTCAGGCATGTCTTTGTTAGATTGAAATTTAACCAATCCAGTGCTCTCCTGACTGCCTCCTACTTTGGATCGTAAACTTATCCAACATTCTGTTGCCCATATCCTAACTTGGATCAAGTTCCATTCAAAGACCATCCCTCTGCTCACCAGTCTAAATTGACTCCCTGTCAAAAGTGCCTTGATTTTAAAATTTGCAACCTTGTTTTCAAATCCTCCATGACCTCACCCCCCTCCCTATCTCTGTAACCTCCTCCAGCCTCACAGCTCTCCAACACACCTGCCTTCCTCCAGTTCTGGACTCTCTCGTGATTCTGATTGTAACCACACTACTAAGGTCTTCACGCCTTCAGCAGCCAAGCCCCAAGGTCTGCAATTTCCTCCCCAATATTTTCTGCCTCTGTTTCCAGCTAGAAGATACAATCCATGCCTTTGGTCAAGCTTTTAATAATCTGCTGTAATATCCATTTAGCTCACTGTCAGTATTATTTGACAGCTCTTATGCTGAGTGCATTGGGATGTTTACTTCATTCAATGTGACTTCTTGTCTTTGAAGCTCAATCATACTTCATCCAGTTTCATACTGAACACTTTATGGGCTGTTTCATGCTGACATCACAGCAGAGCTCAATGGAATAAATCTCCTGATACTTCTGCCACTAGGGGCAGGCAGACTCCATCACAATGGAGCTAAACAGTTGCTTCGAGAGAAGTCTCCACTTAATTATCATAAAGGAAACATGATTCAATGGTGTTGCTGTTGAGGTGTTTTACTACAGGCACATTATCATGCACAGCCAACTCTCCATGGGTTGAAGACAAATTATCACAACAGGATAAAAAAATTTTAAAAAGTCATTTTTAAATGAATGTTAATCTTTACTAATTATAAAAAAGTATTGAACTTGAGGATAAAGGCTGTTTAAATAACATTCAAGAATCTTCTAATCAGTTAATGAAGAGTCTATTTACTCTTCAGTTAGAATTCCTTTCCTAAAGCACACTGTCTCTCTTCCTCTTTCCCCACTTTTAAGTCATTCTTTAAATCTTTGACAAACACTTGATTGATCATCTGTCCTAATATTGCATTATTTGGGTCAGTGTCATATTCTGTCTTTATTCTGACCACTCCTGTGAAGAAGTCAAGGATTGTTTTAGTATGTTAAAGGCACTATATAATTGCAAGTTGTTACCTTATGTTACGATACCATAAGAACAAATAGTTCAGCACAGTTTAGAAACAGGACCAAAAATCTGGTCTGGAATCAACCATTCAATAGATAAACTCACTGCAAAAGTGCAGTAAATCAGGCATCATTTCAGACTTTTAAATCATGCTTCATGCAAGTGCACTAATGTGCTTTAAATGTAGAAGAGTCTTGCTTTTTATTTGCACACATGCAATCTATTATTGTTAAGCTAGTACATCAGTGAATACCTGATATCCAGCATTAGCCATCATTCCTTTATTCTACGCCAATCTATTGTTTCATCAGTCACCCTGTCGAACCAGGGACTGACTGCTAGCTGACCAGGGCTTTACAGAGGCAAGTTAGGGGGTGGAAAAATAGCCCCGTTATTTAAAAAAAAGGGCAGACAAAAATGAAGGATTACTGATTGATTAGCCTAAGATCAGTGGTAGGGAAAGTGCCAGAATCTATCATAAAGGATTTGATAACGGGGCAGTTAGAAAATACCAATAGGGTTAGATAAAGGCAAGAAGGATTCACGTTCAGCAATCCTACCAGAAATTTTTGAGGACATAACCAGTAGAACAGATAAAGGAAAACAACCGGATGTGATGTGCTTGGCTTATGATAAGGTGACATATAAGAGGTTAGTGTATAAATCAAAGCACATGGGATTAGTGGTAATATATTACCGTGGATTGAGAATTCATTAGAAGACAAGAAACAGAAGTATGTGGGTCTTTTATCAGAGTGGATGTACCACAAAGTCTAAAAATCTAGTCTAGATCAGTGCTTGGACCACAGCTCTCCAATACCAATGACTGGATGAAGGGATCAAATCTAATAATTTCAGGTTTGCTGACAATGCAAAACCAGGTGGGATTGTGAATGGTGAGGTGGACGTAAAGAGGCTTCACAGTGACTTAGATAAATTGAGTATGTGATCAAATACATAGCAAATGTAAAATAATTCCTTGTTCTGGACGCCTCAACCAGGGGAAACATCAATTCTGCAACCAGTCTGACCAGGCCTGTCAGAATTTATATAACCTAATATGATTTGGATAGGTATGAAGTTAGCCATTTTGGTGGGAAAAACAGAGTAGCCAAGTATTGTTTAAATGGTGATAGATTGGGAAATGTTGATATACAAGAGGATCTGGTGTCACACAAGTGACTGAAAGCAAACATGCACGTGCAGCAAGCAGCAAGGAAAGCAAATTGAATACTGGCCTTTACTGTGAGGAGGTTTGAGTGTAAGACCTTACTGCAGCTGGACAGGGCCTTAGTGAGACCACACCTGGAGTATGGTGTGCAGTTTAGGTCTACTTACCTAAGAAAAAAAATACTTTCCATGAAGGGAATGCAGTGAACATTCATCAAATTGATTCTGGAGATGGCAGGTTCATTGTATTAGGAGAGATTAGGCTGACTGGGCCTATATTTACTGGAGTTTAGAAGATTGAGAGGAGATCTCATTGAAACATATAAATTATGTGAGGACTGGATGCAGAATTGATGTTTCCCCTGGTTGGGGTGCCCACAACAAGGAATTTTGCAGGATATGGCGTAGTCTATTTGTGACTGAGGTGGAGAAATTTCTTTACTCAGAGGGTGGTGAACCTATGGAATTTTGTATGACAGAAGACTGCGACCAAGTCACTGAATATATTTAAGAAAGTAGCAGATATATTTATAGATACCAAAGGCATCAAGGGTCTTGCACAGAGAGGGACTATGGAGTCGAGATAGAGGATTAGCTATGACCACATTGAATAATGGAGCAATGGGCCAAATGGCCTACCCCTGCTCCTAGTTTCTATGATCATGACTGCAGTGCGCAATCAAACCACACATGGATAGCATACAAATGTCAGTCATGCTGTCACAGGAAATATCTTCAAATTGCCCAAAACTTACTTCTTAAGGCTGGATTGTACACTGGCAGAGCCCTATAGTATTGGCATGTGTTATGATTCATTGTGGTCTGCTTATTCCATGCAACTTCACCAACATGGAGATGCAACCCATGTCACCAAATACATCAGAGATAGTAGGAACTGCAGATGCTGGAGAATCTGAGATAACACGGTGTAGAGCTGGATGAACACAGGAGGCCAAGCAGCATCATAGGAGCAGGAAGGCTGACGTTTCAGGCCTAGACCCTTCTAGGCCCGAAACGTCAGCCTTCTTGCTCCTATGATGCTGCTTGGCCTGCTATGTTCAGCTCTACACCTTGTGATCACCAAATACATGCCAGTCAGCAGAGCATAGGGAAGAGAAAGAACCACTTAGTGGGGAAGGCAATCAACACACCTACTTTGGCTGGGATGTCCATTAGCACTTAATCAATGCACTGCCAATGAATGCAACCCCAATACCCCATCAGCAATCATGTCCACAACTCACCCTTCCCCACCCCCTCATCACTGGTCCAGCTTTGGACTGCACCATTTTAACCTGGAGGGTAGCAATCTGGAAGCAGTCTGATGGGCAATGGCAAGGGCATTGACAGAGTGACACTGACAGTAGAACAAATGCTACTATCCTGAGAGAGTTCAGCAGGTTTGTGTCCCAAAGAGAGTGTCATTTCCCCTGGGATGATGCCTTAGCTGTCCTAGTTATGTGTTGATGATTACTGGATTGCTGTGAAACTTTGCAAGCCCCTTTGAATGTTGACATGGGCAGCAATTGGGCACACAAATTGAGCAATAAACTAAGATTGCAGCTTCTCAGTCTGAGCATCCAATGCTCGGATTCCATGTGACTGCCCGATACCCAATTGCTTTTCCGTGCTCCTTGACTGATATATCAATGTGCATGCCTACCATACTTTTCAGTGCAGCTCCATTCAGAGTGTTCATCTGAATCTCCTGCACAAACCTGTATGACCTCACCACCTTGGGAGCTGGCACCAATGCTACTCATTCCCCCTACTTCAGCTGCAGGCCATTGATTCACTATTTGCCAGTCCAACCCAATGCTACCCTCTGAAGTATGGGCGGTGTCAAGGTCCGAGTTGTGAGAAAGATTGAGCAAACACTATCAGTCTATCGTCCCTTTGAGATGTCACACTCTTGCACCACTTCCTGGCCAAGTAGCAGTTCCTGAGTATCTGAAAGTAGTATGGCACAATGGTGGTTCTGCAGTGCAGGAAATGAACAGGTGCATGGTTACAGCATCTGCTGATTGCAAGTCTGAGGAGCGTGTGTGGGACAGGGTTGGGGGGGTGGGGGTGGCGGGGATAAGGGGGATGTGAGAAAATGAATTAGGTAGGGTGATGCCATCATCTTCAGTGGTTTCAGCTCTGCACCTAATCACAGTCCCACTTGTGACCGTTCCAACGATGGCCAGAACCATCTTCTCAATTGACAAGAGGACACGCGTCTGTTGTGGCCCGCTCTGGTTAGGTGTCACCTGGCTCTACAAAAGAGGAAAGTACGTCAGTAAGTGTGGTCCAACATGATTCTTTGTCTGATGCGTCAGTCAAGGAATAATAGCTGGCAGCACCAAGGTGAAATCTGCAGCAGTACTAACTGTGTGAGGGTCAAGTAAAGCAATGGACGTTAAGTACATGTCATAGGTGATAGTGATTGTTGATAGGTGTGCGGTACAGGGTTTCTTTCCTGTTATGCTACATTCTAGAAGTCATGCACTGTTCTCCAAACACATGCAGTCCCTGCTGTGACCAGAATTAACTTCTTCTACTTTAAGTAGTGCTGACCTTGCACAAGGTTGGGCTCCCTGCTAAGTTTTGCAATCACTCAGCAGCACATGAAGCACTGAACTGCAAAGCTATTACCAGTATCATCATCATCACCTTTCTTCTCCTACAGGGACTGGTGAAAGAGTTTGTTGGCTAGGTGAATACTCCAAGCATATGTATCAGCATTAACAGTAGCAAAACAGATGATCATGCATTTGGCTTCAAAGTTTTAAAGCGGGAATTGTATACAATCGACCAGGCTCCTACATTTAGAGGGAGTGCAGCACCATTTCACCAGACTTGCTACTATCTATATGCTCTGATGTGTGCATTCTTTAGGGGCTTTTGTGGTCTAGTGTATACAAGGGTACCCCCCTTCTGATCTAATGATAAGAGTCTTGCAGAGACAAGGCGTAGTTAATTACAGCTCTGTGGTTATTTACAGATTATCAGAATAAACTCTACCTTACTACAAAGGCCGTTGGCGATACTGAACCTTTAGGTGAGCCTCCCAACATATCCTACATTCCTCTTCCACCAAGTCCTCAAAATGTCACCATAGTAGGTGGTATTTATTGGACTCAATCAAATATTAACCCTTTTAGACTCTTCTAGGACCACACATATCAGGGTTAAATTATCATGTCAGGATGCATATATTTCTTTATGTAGGAAATTAAAAGGTAATCTGGTTGAGGTGTTTAAATGTGTGAAAAGGATACTGGTTTGGTAAATTTGAACATTGCTTCCTCTGGCAGAACAAGAGGCACAGTGGCTCAGTGGTTAGCACTGCTGTCTAACAGCACCAGGATCCCGGGTTTGATTCCATCGTTAGGATTCTATGATAAGAGACCATGATAAGAGACCATACACTTAGTACATTCACCAACAATATCAACTTTTAGTTATATAGCACCTCTCATGCAATGAAACATCCTAAGGTGCTGCAGAGGAGTTTTATGAAACTGAGGATGGAATCTTCTTTGATAGTCAAGTGTCTCATGTATTGCCTGTAAAAGCGCCAAGACACACATGCAGCCTCTTAGAAGAAAGACTTAATGGATCTTGTGCCTGTCAGGCACTTTAGTGGATGCTGCTGGGCCTTCCTCCTGAGGACATCCTGCTGTCTGGACCTCTGACTAGCTGTGCTGCAAACAGCCACAGCCTCTGACAGGGCACCGTGGCTCACAGTAGTTACTGACCTCTGATTATCTGGCAGCTTCAGGCAAGGTAGGACATTGCTGACATGAAGAAGGAGCAGTGCGTTGAAAGTTTGTGATTTCAAATAAACCTGTTGGACTATAACCTGGTGTAGTATGACTTCTGACTTTGTCCATCCTAGTCCAGCAACGGCACCTTCACATCACTGTATTGAATGCCTTTTGAAAATCTACGTATACCACATCAACAGCATTACCTTCAAAAATCTCCAGGAAGTTAGTTAAATACAATTTCCACCTTTGAAATCCACTCTGGCTCTTTCTAATCAACCCACCTATTATGCACGTGACTACTAACTATATCCTAATAACTGTTTCTAGAAACTTCGCCACCACCGACTGGTCTGCAGTTGCTTACAACAAGTCTTCTGACACCTCCCGAGAGTCCACAGAAGACTAAACAATTATGGCCAGTATCTCTGCATTCTCTACTCTCATTTTCTTTAATATCGTTTGATTCATTTAATTCAGACCCAGTGCCATATCAACTAAATATTAACAATCTATCCAACACTTCCTTCTCATCAAATTTGAACAGTTTTCTAAAATTTCTAAACCTAACACAAAAAGTAAATGATATTTCAGTAACTGGGTAAAGCAATTAAATTTATGTCATGGCTACTGGAATAGTGGGACTAGAGAGAGTCAATTCACTCCTCCAACCTCATCATAGCACAACTCATGGATGTTGACGATAAGGAATTTAGATACAGGCATATTTTCTCTTGTTCGACCTATCATTTTTATGGTGTAAAGGTTACTTGCTAATCTTACTCACAATTTTATGTGATGCTACCTCTATTGCCAGAGCAGGAGTGACAGCCACCTGTTTTTGTTCCACTAGATGAGATGCACATGACACATGTCCTCTATAAGTCAGAGTCAGTGAAAGTTTGCCACAGGTTGCCCCATCTATGTCTATGAGGGCCAGTCTTGGGCATGGGGAACAAGACAAGGTGTCAATGATTCTGGCTTAGGTGCTGAGCAGGGAGAGCCGTTTTGCCATTATCCCTGCCTCCATCTTCCCTTTCAGGGCCCACATTCACTTACCTGTTAACAAACGGCAGGGGAGCACTTGGCTGTGTTTCCACTTAGTTTCAAAGCACTACTGCAACTGACATATCAATGCAATGCAACATTGCCAAACCTAAATGGAGACTATTATGTTGTTCCTCCATCCACTTGTTGCCCTGCTGCATATAATTCTTCAGGAAGATGGCTACTCATATGCCTGAGTCTCAAGGGTCCTCATTTTCTCAGACAACTGATAGATACCCACATATCTTCCTTTGCTCTGCCACAAAGATGAGCATCTGGATCGAACTGAGCTGGCCTCAGTCCTCTCTGTGGGCCTACCCTTAGCTGTCACTTTGACAACCGCTCCTGCTTCAATGTGAAATGCCCTTCATTGTTCCACCCAATCCACTCACAATCGAAGCCCCACTAATGGGAATGTATCTGCCCTTGTGGAGGATGCACTCATCTCATGTTTCGGGGTTTCCCCAAGGTGCTGCCTTTCCTCTCAGCTTTAAGATACCTCAACCCCTGGCTCCTACTGCACCTCCAGCATTGCCCCTGCAAGAGAGATAAGACTTCAGTGAGCAAAGGACATTGGTGGCAATGGTTGCAGACACACTCAAATTTTGCTTACCATGAAATACTTTTAAGTTCAAATATAGAAGCAGCTCAGAGCCATTTTCAGCATTACAACATAAATGACTTCACCCTCCTATGCTGCACTCCCATTTCTCCTTCAGTGATTGCCTGGCCTACTACCACCCTAACTGCCATGGCTTCCTCATCCACTGGCTGCAAGCAGAATGACATAGATTTGATGCCTGTCCCGAATGTTTTGCACTCTCTCCTGCAATAAAGAAAAGTGAGGAATGTGAGCAGCAGTCTGTGTTCATCATCCATATTTGATGAAATTCATTGTGAAATAGGTGCACAAAGCTTTAGGTTCATACATAAACGAAAGATGGCAAAGAGAACCTGTGAGATTATCCTTTGTGTTTTTTCAAAGGCTTTGCCATGAATGTGATGGTCGCAGTACGTTCACCTTGCCAACCCTCAGGTGCACTGCACCCAGTTCTTGTTAACAATACCATAGCTATTGATCTTGGCAGGTTGGAGAGGGGGATGTGGGGTTGGTCGTATAAGATAGCAGAGAGTGGTGGGGGGTGGTGTCATTGGTGAGTCAGTTCAGTTTTATGACTAACAAAGAGTAAGGGAAAAAAGGAGAAGTAAGTTTAAAGCCTCCGAGTCTATTGCAGAGCTAGAGTCTTTTTGGAGGGTTTCTGAGACTGGGTCTGGACTCAAACAACCTTGATGGAGCATATTATGGGGCATGCATACCAAGAATGCTGGGTGCACTGTTATTTTACCAGACAGCCTCCTGTCACTTGTCAAGGACCATGGAAGAGTCCAGCGCCAAGTTGGCAGAGTGCTTCGTACAGAGTTTGCCCTGCGTATAGCCTCTGCTTCATCTCCCTATTGTGCTGCAGGCCCAGAGTCCCTGCACCTGTTGCAAGGCCTATTTTTGCACCTTTTAGCATTCGGTTGTGGAGAAAGTGGTAATTTTTGGCTAGAACCTGCCTGGTCCAAATGAGGTATTCTAGCATTTATTCAGCGTGTTATTTTGTGTGAAATTAGGATAGTGCTCTATTACAGTCTTCCAGTACAGAATCATACAATCACAGAATTGTTATGATGCATAAGGAGACCGTTTGGCCCATTGTGCTTTCACTGGCCCTTCAAACAAGTACTCACTGCCCCAGCAGCACCCTCTAGTGTTGAGAGAGATGAAATCCGCACATCATTACATGGAATATACAATACAGAGACAGGCCGTACAGCCTAACCAGGCCATACCAGTATTTATGCTCCACTTCAGTCTTCTCCCAACTTTTGTCCTCTAAATTCAACCTTACAACCATTCTTAACAAAAACCGAAAGTACTCTGGATGCTGGAAATCAAAAACAAAAACAGAAATTGCTAGAAAAACTCAGCAGATCTGGCAGCATCCGTGGATAGAAATCAGAGTTAATGTTTCAGGTCCAGCGACCCTTTCTTAGAACTTGGGAAGGGTCACTGGACCGAAACATTAACTCTGATTTCTCCCCACAGATGCGGCCAGATCTGCTGAGCTTTTCCAGCAATTTCAGTTTTTGTTGCAACCATTCTTCTCCCTTATATGCTTGTCTAGTTTCCCCTTAAATTCTACTTACTTTAACCAATTCCAGTGGTTGCAAATTCCACATTCTTACCACTCTTTGGATGAAGAAGATTCTTCCTAATTGGACTTCTTGATGACTACTTTATATTGGTGGCAGATTATCTCACATTGATGTCATTCCCATATTTATAAAAGAAGTGTAAAATAAAGCCCAGGGAACCATAGATCACTTAGAAAATACTGGTGCTGGGAAGATAATCAACTTTACTCAAAGAAGCAAAAAAAAAAAATCACATAAAAGCATGAATTATAATAGAGAGTTGGCATGGATTTCAAAAGGAAGGTCAAGCTTAACTAATCTTCTTGAATTATTTGAAGAAATAACAGGAAAACTAGGCAAGATTAATGCACTCAATAAATTTAGATTTTCAAAATGTTTTTAATAAGGTATCAATAATAGATTCATGATTAAGGTTATAATTAATGGAATGGGGACAAGCAACAGGGTGGATAGAAACATGACTGTGAAACAAAAATCAAAGAGTAGGGGTTATGGGTAGCAATTCAAGATTAATTAAAGGAAGGAAATGATTGGTGTTAGCACTATGTTGTTCATAATTTTCATAAACTATGAGAAAATATAATTTAAAAATTTGCAGAGGACACTAAATTGAGGGTACATTTAATACTGAGTCAGAATGTGACAAAATACAAGACATTAACATACTTATGGGTGATACTATCCAAATGGACTGTTGCCTCCTTGTACTTCTGAGCAAGATTCAGAATGGGACAGAAGACCAAAAGTATCTAGAGTGTATGTTTCAGGAGGCTGCATGTCAGAATCCATGATGAAAGGCATCGCCACTGTCATTAACAATAGGGAGAAGTAAGAAAGAATCTGTGGCCCATCTCTCAGATATATGTGGACCACAAAACTCTGTCCAAGGTCATTGCCAATTAGGTCGAATCAGTTCTGGAATTGGTAATCCACTCTGATCCACCTTTCATTGTACCCAGCAGGAAGAGCTCTGACAGTCTTCTACTTCATTGAGATATGATCAACAATGTACAAAATAGGGGCATAGAATCTGCGTCACCAAACTGTACAAAAAATAAAAGTCTTTGACAAAATATGTATGTCTACATAATAGATGTGCTCCCCAAAACAGGGTCTGAGAGCAAATCAGCAACAAGGTTCAGTTGTTGTACATAGATAGTGCAGCTTCAATCAATGCATGGGAAGCTTTCTGATCAAATCCAGAGTCAGGCAGGGCTGTTCTGGCTCTTTTATCTTGTTCTCGCGCTGCATCAATTTTGCCAAGTCTGTCAGGAAGGTTGTGAGCATAAGAGGGATATCAATCCCAGGCAGCAGAGGCACTCAAAGCATCCCCGTACGGGGATGATGTTGCTGTCTTCTGCTCCGAACCACTCATATTGTGC